AGGCAGGGAGGCTAAGTGAAGAGGTCCTATTGAGGTTCAGGGTCTGCGCTACATAGGTCTGATGTGGCACCAGCCGGGTAAGACATACCAGCAAGACGGGAAAGACCAGTCCGTGGAATTAATGAGTCGCTGGATGTGACGATGGAGGCAAAGGGGAGGGAGAGAAACTGGGACCACTTCAGAGAACAGAAGTGGGGCCCAGTCTGAAAAGGAAGATGGCAAGGGTGCTGTGGGGACAGGCTGAGTTGGGGTGACAGAAAATCACAAGGAGAGGGGCCTGGAGCTCTGGAGAGGGGGAGCCTAGGCTGGAGGAGAGAGTCTGGTTAAGAGGCAGGAAGGAGGAATCAGGAGAAGGAATTAGGGACACAAGATGAAAGGGTGACCCCAGAGCCAAGGGAGCCCCCTTCCAACACCCCCCTCCCAGGCTAGGAGAGAGCAAAGTGGTTATTTGGAGAGATCGCTGTGTCCAGGCCATAGTTCTAGAAGTGACTGACTGCCTGATTTATGACCATTGCCCCTGAACTCAGGCCAGGACTAAGCATAGGGACAATCCCAAATCAGGGGCTATGAGGTCACCCTGTGGTTTCTCTTGTTCTATTTTCCAGCCCAGCCCCAGCATAAGGCAACATGCTGCTCCTGAGCGGGAGAGAGTAGGACACTTATGCCACCACCACCCCGGGTAGTGGGGGCTGGGGCAGAGGGGAGGGTAGAAGCAGCGGGTGCCCAACATCACTGCCAGCATCTATGGCCAGCTCCAGGACAGGCTGTGCCCATCAGATCTGAATTCACGGGGTCTTTGGGCTAATGGCCAGCTAGATAGACCTCTGCGGCTAGCCGACAAGCTGCCACACGCCCTAGGCAAGCAGGCAGAAGAGTGAAGAAGAGAAAGGATGAAGAAGCAGCCCCAGTGCTGGTGGAAAGGGAAAGGGATTGTAAACAAGAAGGCATTGAGGGGTCCAGCCACCAGTAGCGTCCGGGACAGCCCAGACAGGTTGCCCCCATGGTTTCAGCAGGGACAAAGCCAGTGACAGCACAGGGTCACAGCCAGAGGCCAAGAGCCAGGGAGAGGGGCAGAGAGACCAGGATCCCATCCTCGAACTTTTAAGTACTTAAAATATATATATTTTTATTTATTTATTTATTTGACAGAGAGAGAGAGATCGCAAGTAGGCAGAGAAGCCGGCAGAGAGAGAGAGGGAGAAGGAGGCTCCCCGCTGAGCAGAGAGCCCGATGGGAGGCTCGTTCCTAGGACCCTTGAGAACATGACCCATGAGAACAAGCGGAAGGCAGAGGCTTAATCCACTGAGCCACCCAGGCGCCCCAATAGTTAAAATATTTTTAAAGAATCCCAGGCTGTGGGCTTAGGGTGCTAAGACCCAGGAATGGGGGCTTTACTTGGATGGGCAATAGTTTACCCATTCCTTCATTTCAGCCAGTGAGCCAGGACCTGGACAGCGCTCCATACGCGTCAACCCGTCTCATAGCTATTGTAATCCTGCATTAAACACGGCGAAGTGCTGGGGAAGGACTGATCATCCGGGAAGAAAGCTCCTAAACCTCGAGGAGCTTAGTGGGAGACAATGCAGCACTCAGAGGGATTAATGCCTCAACCTGTAGGGTCTGAGAGGCCTTCTTGGAGGAAGGGGCTACAAAGTAGACACCTGAAGACCAACGAGGGGCCAATCGGATAAAGACAAGACTCCCCGAGGCAGTGTTTCAGGGAAAGGGAACAACCACATGCTCCCAGAGATCTCAGAGGATCCGGCCAACCAGCAACAGAAGGTGGTGCTGGCTGATATCTGTCCTGATGTATGGTGATTGCGCTAGTAAGTACGAATTGCTTACTATGAATTCCTGAACATTTATGTTTTCGCGCAAGTGCCTTCCTCTCTCTTTGCGCAGATACCCCAGTTCCTTTATTTGTAGGATGGTGACCCTTCCAACTCTGTGTCCCTAGCCACTCACCCATAGTGACAGCTGTCCATAGGCCGTCACGAAATGGGACGTGACGCTAGGCTGTGCACTTAGACCAGCACTTAGGGGACAGAGTCAGAGAGGAAGGCTGGGGAAGGCCATAGAGAATGTCTCCGCCAGACCCTGACTCAGAGCTCTGTGGCCTCGGTGACCATGCTCCAGCCTGCTGGGAACTGCACCCTCGAGAAGCACTCACGGTCCAGGAAGGTGGAGGGAGTGTTCCCACAGCTCTATCAATTTTATCTTGATGAAGCAGAGGTCAAAGTTAAACGTGGAGCTCCCCAGAGAACAGTGAGATCCTGGAAAAAAGAGGGTGGGAGCTTCTAGGAAGTCCCCGGGTACTAAGTCCCTGGATCCCGCCAGAGTACCCAAGGATGGAGGGGACGGCTGCGTTCGGTCTTTTCTGAGTACCCAGGAGCAGGGACTGCCACTCACAGGACTGAGCCAGGCTGAAGTGGGGGAGGGGGGTGCTGAGATGGTGCAGACCCTGGAGTAGGATCCCTTCCGGCCCCCCTACACGCCTGAGACCATCCCTAGAGGACCATGGATGCACTTTAATGGATCCCATTCCCTTCTTGCAATGTTTGTATCCATGGAAACTCAGGCTAAGGCGAATGTCCCTTTGTGTAAGGGCCAACCCCAGCACGGAGACTATTGGCAAAAAATGAGACAAGTCACAGAGATGACTTATGTCTAAGATGTACCTTACAACTAATGTAAATATCTCCGACATAATTCACCCAGGACTTAAGCCATCCTACTGGTTGTGAAGTGGTATCTCATTGTGTTGGGTTTTTTTAAAGATTTTATTTATTTATTTGACAGACAGAGATCACAAGTAAGCAGAGAGGCAGTCAGAGAGAGGAGGAAGCAGGCTCCCTGCTGAGCAGAGAGTCTGGTGTGGGGCTCGATCCCAGGACCCTGGGATCATGACCTGAGCCGAAGGCAGAGGCTTCAACCCACTGAGCCACCCAGGCGCCTCTCTCATTGTGGTTTTGATTTGCATTTCCTTGATATCTAATGATGCTGAACATCTTTTTTTTTTTCTTTTTTTTAAGCAGACTCTTTATCCAGGACGGAACACAAAGCAACACTTGAACTCACAACTCTGAGATCAAGACCCCAGCTGATGGGGCACCTGGATGGCTCAGTGGGTTAAAGCCTCTGCCTTTGGCTCAGGTCATGATCCCAGGACCCTGGCATGGAGCCCTGCATCAGGCTCTCTGCTCACCAGGGAGCCTGCTTCCCTCTCTCTCTCTGCCTGCTGCTCTTCCTACTTGTGATCTCTGCCTGACAAATAAATGAATAAAACCTTAAAAAAAAAAAAAAAAAAGACCCCAGCTGAAATCAAGAGTCCAACGCTTGACTGACTGAACCACCCAGGGACCCCGAGCTTCTTTTCATGTGCTTATTGGCCATTTATATGTCTCCTTTGGAGAAATGTCTGCTCAGATCCTTTACCCATTTTCTTTTTTTTTTTTTTTAAGATTTTATGTATTTATTTGACAGAGATCACAAGCAGGCAGAGAGGCAGGCAGAGAGAGAGGAGGAAGCAGGCTCCCAGCTGAGCAGAGAGCCCGATGCAGGGCTTGGTCCCAGGACCCTGGGATCATGACCTGAGCGGAAGGCAGAGGCTTCAACCCACTGAGCCCTCCAGGTGCCCCCCTTTACCCATTTTCAAATGGGCTTATTTGCCTTTCCGTTGTTGAACTGTAGGAGTTCTTTGTATATTCTCAAGTTATCAGATACAAAATTAGCTAATATTTTATCCCTTTCTGAGTATTATCTTTTCACTTTCTTGATGGTGTTTTGGCACATGAAAGTTTTTAATTTCGAGTGTCACTGGTGTTTGGTGTCCTACCTAAGAATCCATTGCCTTGTTCAAGGTCATCAAGATTTCCTCCCATGTTTTCTTCTAAAAGTTTTAATGTTTTAGTTATGACCTTCCCCCCTCTTTGTTATAGTGCGCGGCAAGAGTCCAGGCTCATCCTTTTGCGTGTAGATTTTCCGTTGTTCCAGCACCATTTGCTGAAAAGACCATTCTTTCCACCCTGGATTGTCTCAACACCCTTGTGGAAAATCAGCTGATCAGAAATACAAGGATTTATTCTGAATTATTTTCCATTTGATCTATAAGTTTATCCTTATACCAGTACCACACTGCCCTTTTTAAAGTTTATTTATTTTTAGTAATCTCCACACCCAACCTGGGGCTTGAACCCCCACCCCCAGATCAAAAGTCTCACGCTCTTCCAACTAAGTCAGCAGACACCCCAGTACCACACTGTGTCGATGACCATAACTTTGCAGTAACTGAAAAAGCTTTAAATCATGCATTTTAAGGGCTGGCTAGGTGGAGAAGATGGAAAACGGCCTGCAGGTCTGAGCGGCGCCTGCGAAGGTGGTGGGCGTCCTCTGATCCGCCCCCAGGGTCTGAGGGGTAACCCTCTTGGCGCGCCGGGCCCGCCCCAGATGCCAGAGTTCTTCTGGGTGTGGCCCTCAAGCTCCAGCTTTCAGTGGAAGGACCAGTGGGGGGGCTAAAGCCGACAAAGAACGGGTCCTCTACGGTGGCCTCCCACCCGACTCCGCTGGGAGGTAGAGCCCCTTAATCACACGCTTTCTCCTTCCCCCTCGGGGGAGCCCTTGCACTCGGAGGGAGCAGGAGAAATGATATGCTAATGACATGCAAATGATTCCGCCGAGCCGGCGTCTGCAGCCCGGCGGCCCGCCACTGGGACCACTGGACCCGGCTGAGATGAGGGGTGCAGGCCCTGGGCCCTCCCGCCACGCCCTCCCACCCGGGGGCCAGGACGGCCCTTCCCCACCCGCCGGCGTCGCGGAGGTGGGCCCGCCCCCCGGCGGCCTGAGGCCCGCCCCCGAGGGCGCGGCTCTCCGCGGACCGGCGGCCTCCTGCCGCGTCCATCGCTCGCCCGCGGGGCCGCAGGAAGTCGCGCTCGGCGGGAGTGGAGCCGCGCTCGGCGGGAGTGGAGCCGCCCCACGGCCGGGCGGCGCGAGCCGGTGAGCGGGCTCCCCGGGCCTCCCCACTGTCCGCCAGGCGCCCTCTCGCCGGGGTCCCCGTCAGCGCCGTGGCGGACCCGCCTCTCCGGGGACCTCCGGGGCCCCTTCCCGCCTGTGACGGGCTCCGGGTTGAGGATCCAGGAAAGTCTTGTCCCATTCCTGAGCGGCCCCAGCCTGTGATGGCTGGGGACCCCCACGCCTGAGGGGGCTCTCCCGAGCCACTGCCACCCTCCACCGCCTGGGGAGTGGGGGAGGCACGGGCACCACGCGAGGCCTGGCCTGAAATCTCCACGCGGGTGCCCAGGGCGCCAGGGCGTCCCAGAAGCCCCACCCAGGGAAGATCCGTCTTGGGGAATGTGGGAAAGCGGAATGACCCGGGACGGCAGGGACACGGGGCCAAGCTGGGAACGGGTCCTGAGGTCCCTGTTGCCTATCCCATCCTCCTTTCCAGGCCGAGGTCAGAGGGCCCCTGAGGGAACGTGGGGGCAAGTTTGGAGACAGAGAAAGGAGGAGGGTGACTTGTCCCAGCTTGAGGAGTTCTGGAACACCCTGTTCCTTCCTCAGCCCCTGCCAAGTGTAGGGGTTTGAGGGCTTGTCCGTCCCAACCTCAAGCTGGTTCTGGCAGCTCTCCTGCCACTGCCACCCTCTGTCCTGGCCCCTGCCTGATATGGGGTCTGGGAAGGGGGAGGGGGGCTCAGGTCCTGTGGGCCTGCCCTGGAGCGCATGGTGCCTCCTTTGCCTCTCACCATGCGAGAGGGGCATCCCTTCCACTCAGCACACCAAAACCCTGAGTGAGAGCATTCGCTTCCTTTCCTGACCATGCCTGTAAGCTTAGAGGGGCAGAGAAGGGATTCTGACGCCCTGCTGAGGCTCTGCGGAGGCCCCAAACACAAACCAAGTGATGCGTACAGTGTTTGAAGGACAAGAAATGCTTCTGGTCTGGTGCCCTGCCCACAGCTTCCTGCCACTTGGGCATGAAGGGAGTCACTCAGACTCTGGGCTGAGATCCCTGCGGGCTGAGGTGGGCAGCTCCAGTGGAGAGCTTCCGGTCCCTGGAAGTGCGAGCCAGGTGTCTCCAGCTGCATTTCCTTCCTTGCCACAACATACCAGGCAGCGACCATGATTCGTGGTGCCCAGAGCAAAGGAAAGACCACTTCCCTTCTGGGGCAGCACTGGAGCCAGAGCCCCGAGCCCCATCTCATCTCTGCTCTGCTTGAGTTTTCTGGAATGGACCTGCCTACCAGGAAGCCAGGTCACCCTTGGTCCTGGTCTTGCCTGCCCCCAGGGGAACACAGGTGGGTCCCATTAAATTATCTTTTGTGCTCCCCGAGACCTGGTAGGGGTGTGTGAAGAGGTCCCTGTTCTTAGAGTAGGGGGAGTGTGTTGGGGGGGGAGGGACAACAATGATAAACAACAGAAGGATCCATTCCAATGTGGTGTGAAAAGTACATTGAAAGAAAGAAATAGAGGAAGAGGGCCTGGTCTAGCCTGGGGTCAGGGGAGCTTCCCAGGAATACTGTCAGGGCTGAATCTTGAAGGACCGACAGCATTTGCTCTAGTTAGGATTTTGGAACCTCGGCAGCCTAGTCCATGAGGAACTTGCTGGTGGAAGGGGCTGGAGTGCCTACCAGACAAGAAGGCTGTTTGTGATATAGGAGTCGCTTGGGGTCTGGGAGGGGACACCCCCTGGTGGAAGGCAGAGTCTTCAGGGGAACCCCCAAAGGGAGGCCAGGGGTCCTCCCAGTGTGCAAAGAGAGCGCAGAGGTGCTCCAGGTTTCCTGGGCTCTGACTCTCCTGGGAGGCCTGGAGGAAGGAGAGGCTGGGAAAAGTCAGCTGCACTGAAAGATCCGGGCAGAAGGTGGATGCAGAGTGAAGGTCGGAATCCTGAACAAAGTCCCCAGAAGGCTGCCTGGAGAAGTGGCTGCTGAGAAGGGCACTAAAGATGCTTCTGATGGGGGATGGGGGTGGGAGCAGGTGGTAGAGGCCTCTCTCTAAAGGGGCAGAACAAGCAGGAATGACAAGGGACCAGAGCTGGGGAAGCAGGGTGAGGGGAGCTGGGTCTGTGTCTCCTCTGTCGTCCACCTCCTCCCTGCCACCTCTGGGTCGAGGGACTGTATGCTGCTCTGAAGGGAAAACAGCAGGGTCCCAGGGCTTGGGAAGGGACAGGGGTAGGGCAGCTGTGAAGGGAAGAGCCGGAGGAAGGGAAGGCAGTGGAGGAAGGCTGGCGGCCCTTCTGGGAGGAAGAGGGGAAAGTGGCAGGTCAGGGAAGACTGAGGTCCCAGCTCTGGAGAGGTTGTGGAGGGGACATTTAGGCCAACACAGGATCAGGTTGCACTGGTGACCTTTCCATTTGCTGCGGGAACAGAAATCCTTGAAGGGAACTGTATGGGAGTTCTGCCTGAGCCTGGAACAGGGCCAGGAGGATCAGGGCTGAGGGATCTCTGGGGCCAGTATCACAAGCCAGAGCCAGGATGGCAGGACCTGCCTGCAGAACACACACACACACACACACACACACACACACGCACGCACACACACAGGCGCGCGCCCACGCTCATTGCACTCTGTCCAATGGGCTGCTCACCTTGGCAGGGCTCCTGGGGGTCCTTTGGGGAGAAAGAAGGCTTGGTGCCCAGAGAAGAGATGGGAGCGTCAGAAGGAGGCGGTTTGGGGTGGATCCCTTTTAGGTGCTGCTTTAAAGTTCCTGGGTCTGGTGGAGGGGGCGGGGAAAGTGTGGAGTACAGGGCGTGGCATGAGGATGGGGTTGCATATTTCTGGTAGATCCATGGGTTTCCATGGATCTTCCCAGGACCTGGGGCTAGAAGGAGGGAGGCTGTGGGAACTGTAGCTCAAGGGATCCACTGCCTTCGTTGAGGCAAAGGCTGCCGGAGCCGTAAGCCTTGAGTACGGGTGAGGTCTGAGGGCCACGGGGGACCAGGGAACAGGTGGAGAGCAGGGACAGAGGGGACAGGGTAAGGGCTCCGCTTCTGGGGAAGGGCCTTGGGGCTTTGAGGCCTGGTCGTGGCAGCTTCCGTGACGGGGTGGGGGAACAGCCTGGATGGGGCGAAAGGGACTGAGCCAAAGATGGGAGTGGGTGTATCTGTGTGTGTGACCACGTGCGCATGTGTGTGTCTGTATGTCTGTGTAGTGTGTGTCTGTTTGCATTTGTTTGTCTCTGGGCTTGTCTGCATGTGTCCCCATAGGTGTGTATCCGTGAATGTGTGTGTCTCTGTATATGTCTGGGCAGGCCTACGTGCGTGACTTTGTATGTCTGTGTGTCTCTAGACTTTTCTGTTTATGTGTGTCTGTGTAAGTGTGTGTCTGCCTGTAAGTCTATGTACCTGTGTGGTTCTGTGTGTCTCTGTCTATGCAGTGTGTGTATGTGTGTGTGTGTGTGTGTGTGTGTTTTAGGGGGAGTGTTGCTCAGAGAAGCCCTGACAGGTGGTGGGTCATTACTGAGCATTGCTGTAGAACTTGACTCTGCCACGAGCTCCCTGTGGAAGGAGGAATATCAGAGGGCCTTCAGATGAGACCCGTGCCTTTTTTTTTTTTTTTAAGATTTTATTTATCTATTTGACAGAGAGAGAGAGAGATCACAAGTAGGCTGAGAGGCGGGCAGAGGGGGGAGGGGGAAGCAGGCTCCCTGCTGAGCAGAGAGCCCTACGGGATTCGGGGCTCCATCCCAGGACCCTGTGTGGCACCCTGGAAAGCTATTCTGTGTACACTCCTTGACGATGTCCAGCACCCACTTACTCACCCAGGCCGTCTCAGCAGCACTGAGAGCGAACGCTGCTGTCGAGGCGGCTTTGCAAAAGTCTGTGTTTGTGTGCAGGAAGCCTGTTTATGAATGTTTGAAAATGCATCTGTGCGTACATGCGGGGGAATTGGGACGTCGCGGGCTCTAGAGATCTGTTCCGTTCTACAAGCTGTTATTGAGTGCTTGCTGTATACAGGAGGGGGCCCCAAGGCCGGGCCAGGAAGTGCCGCCTACTGACTGATCACCAGATGTTGTAAGTCTAGAAAGAATTCCTCCCACCTGCCTCATCCCACTGACAGCTCACCTGCCTGCGCCTCCTGTCAGGCTGGCTCTGGGAAGTGGGTGAAAGGAAAGGCCAAGACCAAGGCGTTTGCCTCTGGCCACCTCCCGGGAGGCGGTGCCCTCTGTGCTACGTGGTGCTGGGGCAAAGGAAGGGATGGTTTCAGCCACCCAGGGAAAGTGGCAGGTGAACTGGAGTTGGCAGCTGCATTCTGTCCCCTCCGCAGGTGGCCCAGGAAGTGGTAACGGCAAAGGATGCCCCAGGTTCTGGAGCGTGCAGAGGGCTGCTGGGCCTGGGTGGTGCTGCTGGCCTCCCTGGTGACCCAGGGCCTCACTCTGGGCTTCCCCACATGCACTGGCATCTTCTTCACTGAACTACAGCATGAGTTCCAGGCCAGCAACAGTGAGACCTCATGGTTCCCCTCCATCCTGACAGCCATGCTCCACGCTGGGGGTGAGCAGCCTGGGGAGGGGCCGAGGGAGGGTTGAGAAAGAGCGCAGGGTGAAGGAGGAAGCCACAGTCTCCCTGGCCTCCTGGAGCTCACTTTCGCTGAGGCCACAGGCTTTGTCTCATGGGGTGAATTCCTAAAATGTCACCTGATTTCATCCCCCCCTGGCTGGAATACGGGGCTGGGCTGTGCTGAACTGGGCTGAGCAGGTCTTGGCTGGGCTGGGGATGGGGAGAGGGTATGGAGGCTCCCAAGGCGCACAGCCAGTCCTCGCAGTGGCTGGAGGCCGAGAGAGGATCTGGGCAGATTGTGGGAGCTCAGACTTGAGGAATTGCTGCTTGGGTAATCGCTCTGAACCTCAGTTTCTTCTTCTGCAATATAGAGGTAACACCCAACACCCTACCACCTCCTACCTGGGGTCATAGGGAGAATCCCATGAGTTACCAGCAGCTAGTATTCAGAGAACCTTGGCGGGGGCTTCAGGATGGGAAAGGGGGCTCGAGGAAAACACAAGGGGCAAGATGGGGGCAGGGAAAGAGCCCCATCTCTCCCCAGGAAGCAGAAGGGGTATTGCAAGGGCTGGGGAGGTTCAAGTGAAGGCAGCCTCCCCCCCCATTTCCTGCTTGGCTCCTTCAAGAATGTGACCCTCTCATCCTGACCTCCCCTGACCTCAGTGAAGAGGGATGGCCAGGGCTGCCTGGGAGATTCCCTGCCATAGACTTGGGCTCAGGGCCCTGCCCCTGACTCCTGAGAGCTCTTGAAGGAGACTCCAAAGAGTCTCCAAAGAGGGACCTGCAAGCGGGGATGGGGGATGGGGGATGGGGCAGGAGGCCCTGGTCAGCAGGAGCAAGATCTCCTGGCCCACAGGGCTCTCCCCATGTGCTTTCCTGGCTCGGCTGACTCCACCTCCCTGCGCACCTCCTGCCACTCCCTCCACCCGGCAGGAGCAGCCTGCTTGTTTTTCCAGGTCCTTCCCTCTAACTGGGGGAGAGGTCAGACTGGGAGAGATGGCCTCCCTGAGATGACCCCTGAACCTGGCGGGGCCTGGACTTAGGCCCTGGGAGAGGCCTGGACTAGGCCAGACCCCATGACCTTTTCACCTGCAAGGTTGGGGCAGAAGTGGGAATCTCAGGCAGTTTGTTCCATGCAGCCAGAAAGGAATCCATGCCAGGGCCCAGGAAACAGGCATCCGGTGGGGACCCCAACTCCCAACCAGCTTTAGACTCCCCAGCCCCTAGCAGGCATGCCAACACTTCAGTAGGCCTGGGATTCCCATCTGTATGTCTGTCTGTCTCACATACACACCTTTAGCCCATGCTCATTCAGAGTATCAGAGGAATTTTTTTTTTTAAGATTTTATTTATTTATTGGTCAGAGGGAGAGAGAGCACAAGCAGGGGGAGTGGCAGGCAGAGGGAGAAGCAGACTGCCCACTGAGCAGGGAACCTGATTCGGACTTGATCCCAGGACCCTGGCATCATGACCTGAGCCGAAGGCAGACGCTTAACCAACTGTGCCACCCAGGCGTCCCCAGAGAAATTTTGAACTTGAAATTATCCTCAATCTCAAGCACCCCCGGCCCCCACACATCTTAGAGATGAAGAAAGCAAGCAAGCACAAGTACTAGGCACGTTCAGGGTTGCAGAGTGAGTTAAGGGCAGAAGCAGTGCCCAGTAGAGGAAACACCCTGCCTCCCAGTGCCCCTGGCTGTCTGAGGTAAGCTGGCACAGGTCCCAACCTCTACCCCCAGTGCCATGACTTGGGGCTTTGCCCAGTGTCACTTTTCCAAAGTCAGACCAGAGTTTGGGGTGGGGAAGATGGACAATGTGTGGGGCAGTGGTCATGTTCACTGCAGTCTTGCCTCTCCCTCTATGGCTGCCTGTGCTTGATTATCTCTGAGTGCGGGCTGCCTACTTCCTGTGTCACTCCCAATCTCATACTGGCTCACATGCACACATCCCCTCTCCACCCCAAACATATACACACACTGGGCATGCGCTCTCGATCTCACGCTCGCTCCCTCCCTCCCTCCCTCCCTCCCTCCCTCTTCCTTTGGCAGGTCTCTGGGAGAGTAACTGTAGAAATTCCATTGTGTGTACTTGGGGGGCAGGGCACCTGGTGAATGGGGCCCTGTGAGGTGTGGAGAAGCAGCCAGCCAGGACTGGCTCCTTTCCGCTCTGGGTCTGGGCTGGTGAGAAGGCAGCTCGAGGTGGGGGTGGGGAGGAGGAGAACAGGACCCTCTCCACTGGAAGCCAAAGAATTTGTGTTGGCTGGAAGTGATGAGGGAGGGGAGAAAGCACCCCACCCAGTTCTCTCCCGAGGCCAGGGCAAGGGGGTGTGGAGTGAGTGTTCCCGCACCCCAGGCTGCCCACCCTAGACGGATTGGAGGCTAGTGGCAGGGCTGTGGCCAGTCCTCTTGAGAATGGGAAGCAGGTGGGGGCTGTAGGCACTCACCATCGTTTTGATAACCTGGAACCCTCACCCGCCGAGAAAAACCCCCAACAAGGGGCGTCTACCCAGGTCACAAGCCAGGCCTATTTTACTCGGATGGAATCAGCCTCAGGTCAGTGCAGCGAAGGGCCTCCTCAGTCCAAAGCTCTGGGGATCCTTGTTAGGGGTTAAACCGAGCCCTTGCAGGACCTCCACCTCCGCTTACAGGTGGTCAGGTGTCATCCAGTGTGACCTCCTGTAGGGGAGGTGCAGAGAGGGACTGGGTTTGCCCCAGCCCATAGCCAGCCTGGGGCCGGGTGGCGATCAGAATCGAGACCTATAGGCCCCAGGGCTGTGCCCTTCCAGCCACATGGCTAGTTCTTGCTGGAACCCCTTCCCAAGCCCTCTCTCCCTCCTTCCTGTCCTTCTCATTCAGCTGCCACCTGCTGGCTGCCTCCTCACCCCTGCCCCTCCCTGCTTCCTCCCCACAGGACCCCTGTGCAGCATCCTGGTGGGACGCTTTGGCTGCCGAGTGACGGTGATGCTGGGGGGCGCACTGGCCAGCCTGGGCATGGTAGCAGGCTCCTTCTGCCGAACCCTTAGCCAGCTCTACCTCACAGCAGGATTCATCACAGGTGACTGTCTTCCCATTTTGAGAATTTCTGGGTGCCTGCCAAAAAGTGCCAGGCATAAGTGTAGGCGGCATGTCTAATCTTCTGGGGCTGCTTATCAATCCCATGAGGGAGAGGGACAATGAATATGTAAATGAGAAAGATTGTTTCTGATGGTGACAAACACCTGAGAAGCAAGGGAGGACCGCTGATGGGATGGTGTCCTGGCTGGGGGGTGGGTGGGCCGAGATTAAACAAACAAAGAAGTAAAACATCTAGGACACCCCAGGCAGAAGATAAAGCAAGGTGGGGAAGTTGCTGCTTTCAACAGGGCAGTCGGGGAAGGTCTTGCAGAGGAGGTGACATTTGGGCAGGAAGCTAATGGAGGTGAGGGAGTCTGCTGCCAGGCTCTCAGGGAAAGAGCATTCCAGACAGCAGGAACAGCAAGTGCAAAGCCCAGAAGGGCCCAAGGGGCAATGGAGGGCACGAGCAAAAGTAGGGTGGAGGCTGGATGGGGAGTAGTGCCTGATGGCTGAGTAGTGAGATGGGAAGCCATGGGAGTGATTCAGGTGGTGGGGTGAGTGACGTCATCCAACTGGTGTTTGTAAAGCCCTCCGGCTGCTGTGTTCAACGTATGTGCACTGGGTGGGGACTAAGAGCAGGAGACAGGTATGAGCATCATAACCCAGACGGGAGATGGCCTACCTTTGACCATGGCGGTACGATGGAGGTGGTGAGGGGTGGTCAGATTCAGGACTGCATGGGAGGTCCAGAGAAGAAGAGTCAAGGATGACCCAAGGTTCCAGGAGCCAAGAAGGGTGACGCTAAGGTTTTTGCCCCAAACTCCGGAAGGATGGAGTAGCCTTTAACTACAGTGGGGAACCGAAGGGAGGAGCAGGTTGGTGGGCGGTTGGGAAACTCAGATGTGGAAGCATCCAGTCTGCTGTTCGGGGACAGGCCCTTGGCTGCTCACGACAGGGCTGGCATTCTAGTATTGAGAGGAGGTATCGTTCTGCTGTCACTAGGAGAACAAGAGTGGGGGGCTGAGGGGGCCTAAGGACTGGGCCCTGCGGTGTCCAATCATTGGTGGGAAGGAGGGACACAGGCAGGAGGAGGCCCAGGAGAGGGAGGTTTCTTGAGAAGGTGAGGAGAGAGTGAGGGCTGTATCAGGCTGCTGGTGGGTCAGATGGAAGGGGACCAGCCTCAGTCTTTGGATTTGGCAACATGGAGGTTGCTGACCTTGATAAGAGGGAGTCTGGACCAAAGGTGAGGCGGAAAGTCTGATTGCAGCAGGTCAAGAGCAAAGAGAAAGACAGGAGTTGGAGACAGTGGAGATAAACAGTATTTCCAGGAAATTTCGATGAAGGGGACAGAGAAACAGGCCAATACCCGGAAGAGGCTATGGGATCAAGAGAGGTGTTTTTTTTTTTGTTTTTAGTTGTTTTGGGTTTTTTTGCTTTTTTTAAACTGCCTTATTAGCTTCACAAAATATTATGAGCATCATTCCATGCAATAGGGGAAAACTCCCCGGGTGACAGAATCTTACAGACTGAGTCAAAATACAACATTCAAAGGCACCTGACTGGCTCAGTCAGTAGAGCATGTGACTCCTGATCTCTGGGTCATGAGTTCAAGCCCCATATTAGGTGAAGAGCCAACTTAAAATAAAAACAGGGCACTGGGGTGGCTCAGTGGGTTAAAGCCTCTGCCTTCGGCTCAGGTCATGATCTCAGGGTCCAGAGATCGAGCCCCGCATTGGGCTCTCTGCTCAGCAAGGAGCCTGCTTCCCCCTCTCCCTCTGCCTGCCTCTCTGCCTACTTGTGATCTCTCTCTCTCTCTCTCTGTCAAATAAATAAATAATCTTTAAAAAAATAATAAAATAAAATAAAAACAAACATACAAAACCCCCCACCCACATTCAGTTAAGAGCCAGTAACAGGGGACCCTAAAGAAACATGTAACACCAAAGGATTTATGGGAAAGGTCCCTTAAAACCAAGTTAGAATGTAGGTACGTCTTCCTGTGACCTTGAGGGAGAACATCAGGACTTGAGGCATCAGGCCAAACTCATCCAGTCACGGTGAGGAGAGTTGGTGCTAACTGCCTGAAGACCACGCCAGGACTGCTTTTCCATCTGCTGCCTGACCTCCTCCCTCCCTTGCCCATAGCTTTCCAAGCCTCTGACACACGTCCTACCTGTACTGCAGGATGCAGCTGCCTACGGAGGCACACGACATCCACCAGCTTCCAAACAGAAGGCCAAGGGCTCTCCTTTATTAGCACCTTGCTCCTTTTCATCCTTTCCTGCATTTTCCTGGTTGACATTTTGTACTGCCTGTTCCTCTTCGGACACCATGGCTCCTGGGCCTCTCCTTGTGGGCTCCTCTTCCTCTTCGTAGCAGAGAGAATGAACCCCCAAGACCCTTCAAACTGCACATCTGCTCCCCCTCTGCCTTTTTGGGATCACCCCTGGCCCGCAGACCCTTGGGGCTACCGGGACCAGGTACTGAGAAGGGAGTGGGAGCAAGCTGGGGCTGGGTTTCCGTTTTCTTTTTTTGTTTGCTTTTGTTTTGCTTTTTTATTTATTTTTTATTTTTTAAAAATATTTTATTTATTTACTTGACAGAGATCACAGATAGGCAGAGAGGCAGGCAGAGAGGGAGGAGCAGGCTCCCCACTGAGCAGAGAGCCCGATGCGGGGCTCGATTCCAGGACCCTGAGATCATGATCTGGGCCGAAGGCAGAGGCTTTAACCCACTGAGCCACCCAGGCGCCCTTGTTTTGCTTTTTTAAAAAGATTTTATTTCTTTATTTGAGAGAGAGAACACGAGGTGGGGGGAAGAGGCAGAGGGAGACGGAGACGGACAAGCAGACTCCCCACTGAGCAGGGAGCCCAGCCTCTGGGCTTGATCCCAGGACCCCGAAATCATGACCTGAGCCAAAGTCAGATGATTAACCAACTGAGCCACCCAGGCGCCCTTTGTTTTGTTTTTAATGGGAGGAATAACAACGAAGGAGAATGATGTGGCGAAGAGGAGAAAGTGGGTGGTGCAGGAGAAAGAAATTGCTGGAGGGATATGCCTTAAGTGGACAAGATGAAGGGCATAAGCAGCGGGTTGACCTTGGCTGGCAGCAGGGACAGACAGTCCAATGTCACAAACAGAAGGCAAGTGGTCAGCTAGGGGTACTGGGGGAGGTGCACAGAGGACTGGTGGTCATCCAGGAGGGTGGGAGAGAAAATTGATAGTGACATCACAGGTGGCCCGAGAGCCCACCTGAGAATCATGGTCATGGTGTGGCCGTGAGCTTTCTCTTGCAAATTGTTCAGCTCTTCGGGCAGCACAGAGACGGTCGGGGTGTAGCATCTGAGCTGAGCCAGGAGAGAAAAGTCTAGGGGAAGCATATTTTAGGCAGTGGGAACAGCAACTGCAAATGTCCCGCCGTGGGGGGCAGCTTGGTGTCCAGAGGAAGAGAAAGAAGCTGATGTGGTTCAATCATGGTGAGTGACAGGAGAATGGCCTGAGATGGCACCCAAGAGATGACCAGGGGCCAGACCCTGCAGAGCCTCCCAGGGCACAGCAACTACTGTGGCATTTTTTTCCAGGTGAAGTAGGAAGTCTTTGAAAGGTGACTTACCCCAATTTAGGTTTTTATTTTATTTACTTATTTATTTTAAGATTTTATTTATTTGAGAGAGGGCGAGCCAGCACAAGCAGGGGGAAGGGCAGAGGACAAGGAGAGAGAAAAAAGCAGGCTCCCCACTCAGCAGGGAGCCCGACGTGGGGCTCCGTCCCAGGACCCCAAGATCATGACCCGAGCTGAAAGCGGATGCTTAACTGACTGAGCCACCCAGGCACCCCCCCCCCCTCAATTTAGGTTTTTTTAAAGATCAGCCTGGTGCTATGCAAAGGGCAACAGGTGTGCCCCTGGCAGCCTTGGGAGGGCAGAGCCGATGTTTCTAAGGAGGTGGCAAGGCAGGCTGTTTCCATCCTCAATCCCTGGGGACCTGGAAGTGGGTCTGGGCCAGAACAGAAGGAGGGCAGACCCCACGACCCATCTGGGTGCCGGCGGGAGGCCCAGAATTCCCTCCAGCCGGTCTCCTCCCTCCCACCACAGGCCTGGGCATGTGCTTCAGCTTCCAGTCGAGCATCACCGTGCTGGGCTTCTACTTCCACCACCACCGGGCTCTGGCCAACGCTCTGGCTTCGGTGGGCGTCTCCCTGGGCATCACGCTCTGGCCACTGCTCTCCCGCTACCTCCTGGAGGACCTGGGCTGGAGGGGCACCTTCCTTGTCTTCGGCGGCGTTTTTCTCCACTGCTGCGTCTGTGGGGCCATCCTGAGGCCCGTGGCCACCAGCATGGCCCCTGAGACCACAGAAGCGCCCCCTCCACCTTCCAAGACACCTGCTCCCGGCTGCCTGGCAGCGTGTGGTCGGGCCATCCAGCGCCACCTGGCCTTTGATATCCTGCGGCACAACGCGGGCTACCGAGTGTACACGCTGGGCGTTATGTGGATGATCCTGGGCTTCCCGCTGCCGCACGTCTTCCTGGTGCCGTACGCCATGTGGCACGGGGTGGACGAACACAGGGCGGCCCTCCTGATCTCCATCATTGGCTTTAGCAACATCTTCCTGCGGCCCATGGCCGGGCTGGTGGCGGGCCGGCGGGACTTCGCGGGCCACCGGAAGTACCTGTTCAGCCTGGCAGCCCTGCTCAATGGCCTCACCAACCTGGTGTGCGCCGCGTCGGCCGACTTCCGGGTGTTGGTGGGCTACTGCTTGCTGTACAGCGTGTCCATGAGCGGCATCGGAGCCCTCATCTTCCAGGTCCTCATGGACATCGTCCCCATGGATCGGTTCTCTAGCGCCCTGGGCCTCTTCACCGTCCTGGAGAGCGTCTCCGTCCTCATCTCCCCGCCCCTGGCTGGTGAGGCCCCCCTCGGGCGGATGTGGGTGCGGCCTGGGCGTGCGTGGGCGTGGCCTGGGTGGGCAGGACGTGGAGGTGGGGCAAAGGGGAGCCGTCTGAACAGATCTGGGTGCCATCCAGCATCTCCAGGGCGAGGGACTTGGAATCTGTGATTTTCCAAGCGTCTGATTTTCCAAGCTGCAACCTCTTCCCCAGCTGGCGCCCAGGGCATGAACAGTTAAAAATAAGGATTTTTATTTTATTTTATTTTATTTTTTTTGGGTACCAGACTTGCCTGAGTCCTTCATCTTCCTCTCTGTCCCTCTGTTTTCTTTTCAGCAAAGTGGGGAGGTTAATATGATCTACCCCATAGACTTGTTGTGAGGACCGCAGTTATATAGCAAAGAGCTTAGCAGAGAGCCTGGCACAGAGCAGAAAACCACGTGCATGTTTGCCTGATTAAGATCCTGGCTGTCCCACTTCCTGCCTGTGGGACCCAGGCAAGTCATTTTCCTTCTCTGAGCCACAGTGTCATCTCCAAAAGGCAGACAGGAACACCTGCCTTAACGACTGGTTCGCCTGTGCCAGTCACTGGGGGGGGGGGGGGGGGGGTCCTGGCTGACTGGGGACAGATGCCCATCCCCACCTCTCAGGGCTTCCCTTCTGGTGGGAGAGTCAAACCAGACACAGGTTTGTGCTCAGTGTGGTGATCTGTGCCAGGAGGGAAACAAACAGGTGTGGAAGCAGAGACCCCCATGGGCAGACTTGCCAGGCAGCCAAGAATGTGACATTCAAAGTAACATGGAAGCTGTGTGAAGCCCTTGAGGCTGGAGGGCAGTCAGCAATGGTGGCAGTCAGTACAGTCCTCTGATGACAAGGGGGACTCTTCCCAAGTGTGTCATTGGAAGTCGTGGTTTCCAAGGGAGTTGATGAAAGCAACAAGTGGAGACGGTTACCCAGGAGGAGGTGTGGGAGGGCCCAGGTGTAGCTGAGTAGGTATCTTGGACTACTGGCTCTTGTGTGCTTGGTTCCCTGCCACCAAGGGTAAGGGAGACATGCCATGAGGTGCCCTTCTGGCCCAAGGGTTCTTCTTGCCCCCTGGAGAGCAGGCTAAATGTTCCTGTTCTCCTTTGAGTCAACAAATCTTTATTGAGTGTCTTCTATGTGCCAGTCATAGTGGCTCATCCTGGGGATACAGCAGAGCCTGAAATAAAATCTCTGCTCTCGGAGAGCACACATGGTAGTGGGAGGGAGACCTGGCATCCCCGGACAGCGGCCTAACTTGCTCTCTGTCCCCCAGGGCTCCTCCTGGACACCACCGACAACAACTTTAGCTACGTTTTCTACATGTCAAGCTTCTTCCTTATATCAGCTGCCCTCTTCATGGGTGGCAGCTTCTGTGCCCTGCAGAAGAAGGAGAGGCCAGGCATGCAAGCCGAGGCAGAAGGAGCCATCACGGAGGTGCCCTCAGAGCAGGGCCTCATGGTGGAGGACTCACGTGGTGCCAAGAAGCACCTGTACACCGAGGTCATGTATGTGACCAGCATCTGAGCCCTGAGGTCCATGAGTGACCACTGCTGCAGCCCAGGAATGTGATGTCCAGCTGCCAGGGGCTGGGGTGAGGGGCTGCCCAGGAAGCCCAAAGCCAGAAGCCTTCTAGGCTCTGCACACTGGGACTCAGCCAGGAGCTGGGACCTTGCAGGCTGGCCTCCAACGACTCAGAGCTCCTTCCAACCAGCAGATCCAGGAGCAGGTCCTCCTGATTTTTTCTCTGGGGCACCAGCATACCTGGAGCCTAGGAAAGTGAGTCTAAACCCTGCTTGGGTCTGTCACAGCCGGCTCAGCCCAGTGGGCTGCCCAGTACTATCGCTGCCATTCGACACACTGGACCCTCCAGTCCAGCCTGGATGTCTCCGATGTGATCTCTTTGTCCTTCTTCGGCCTCCAGACAGTTCCAGAGAGTTTACCCCTCCTCCAAGGCTCTCCGCCCCCTTTCTTCCCAAGGGCCCGGGCACAGGTTGTTGGGCCTCATGCTGACTGGAAGCTTGGGAAAAAGAACCCCCTGAAAGAATGAGCTGGGACCGGCAGTGGTGGATAGCCAGGCTGAGGGGTTGGCATGGACACAGGACACGGACAGATTAACAGTTGGGGAGAGGACCCAACCTGGTGTCTGAGCAAAGGGCTGGAGGGGAGCCCTTGGCTTGGGTCCTAGAATCACTGAAGTTTGAGGGGTCCCCTGCACTCAGCAGTGCCTGCTGTAAGGTCTCCCTCCCTCCTGTGCCCCTGCCTTGTATCTTGGTCATAAAGCTGCGTGCTGGCGTGGGGGAAAGCCTGACATTTGAGTGAGCAGGGGCGCAGAAGGATTGCTAGGCAGGGCGGAAGACCTCTGGGAAAATGGAGCTGTTTTGCAACAGAAGCCTTCTCTCCCTCTCCTGCCCTCCTCTCCCTACTGTGTCAGAGGTGTCCACCCTAGGGTAAGTAGCCGGCTGGGCCAGCTGCCAGCCCACCTCCACTCCCCAGAGGGCTTCTGCCTGGGGTGTGGAGGTCAGTGCTCCCCACACACCTACTCTTTTTTGCTGGTAGGGTTCCTGAGGTCATCACTTGGGGGCTGGCTGTCATCAGCCCAAGCTTGTCCCAGCAGGGTACCACCTGAGCCAATGGAAACATAGAGTTTGTTTGAATAACAGACAAAAAACGTTCCGGCAGCAGGTTATAAACCCCCTGAACTAATGAAGCTGGAAAACAGGCCTTGAGTACTCCCTTCCCTCCCCCTTTAGTTCTCCCTGCTCAGCAGGCTCTGCTGTGACCCAAGGCCTTGTTTGTTGATTCAGGCTCAACCAGGCTCCAACAAGAAAGCCTTATCAGGAAAATAAAATTTTATTTGCATGACCTGACTCCAACCTGCCTTCTCCTGTCCAGCTGACATGAGTAAGCATCCTTGAGGAAGTACTGTCTTTTCCAGGACCCTGCCATGAGTGCCCCCTCATGGTCAAAGAAAGTAGTGCCCAGGTGAAGCGAAAGGCTCTGAGCTGGGATAGACCCGACTTCATGTTTTGGCTCTGCCACAATCTGCTGTGTGACTTTGGGCAATTGTTCACCATCTCTGGGCCTTAAAAAAGGAGGAGCCTGGCCTGGATAAATCAGAGTCTCTTGTTTGAAAAGTCTGACCCTGAAGACCCCCAAGGCCTTCCTGCTCCTCACCCAGGCACGTACTTGGCCACCATCCACAGCCTGTGCCCTGAAAGGGGAACGCTTGGACACATTTTACCCGGTCCTGTCTCCTCCTCCATCTCAACTGAGTGGAAAAGGAGAGAGTGAGACTGGTGGATAGGTGGATATCTTTGGCCCTAAGAGCCACCAGGCTTTGAAATGTGCAACCCCTATTAGGCCCACTTCCTGAAAACAGATTTATTTTAAGGAAAAAAGATATGAGTGAACATTCAGCATAGGAAGCTTTGATCTCATCTTCTCCCAGCCAAGACTGGCAATAATCTCTGGGCAGATTCCCTTCAACAAAATTATTGAGTATCTACCACGTCCCAGGGCCTGGGTAAGAGGAGTAAGACCTGGTGATGCCCTCAGCACAAAACCAAGGACTGAGAATTTCTCCCCAAGGAGGAAGGCCCCTGAGCCTTTCAGAGGGGACAAATGAGGGAGAATGGGATGGCCGATCTGATTCCAGATCCCCACTTAGGTGCTCTCCTGGGACTCCTCTAGAGAGGAACTAGAGCTGTCTGACCAGCGCAGGTTAGAGCTCGCTTACCTCCTGTCCCTGAATTCTGAGCCCCTTGTCCCCAGGACTTTGCTGCTCTGTCCAGACAGAGGCAGAGAAGCCCCTGGCCACCTTGGGTTGAGATGTACTTCCCCACGTTTTATCGGCTCTCTACAGAAGCCAAAGGGCCTGATGACAGGTCTAGGGCCACTGTCCTATGTGGAGCTATCAGGGTACCCAGGCACCCAGATTATAGTCATAACTCCTGCCTCAAGGGGTGCACACAGGGCAAGGGCTGACCACAAGGACCTGAGCCCATGGAGGTGTGTGGGGTCTGCTCAGTGATGCTGTGGCAGGCTGGAGTGTGGCAGCCACTTTCCTTCATGCTAGGCCCAGGGCCAAAGATACGTGGTCCTAAGCCTCAAGAAGCTCACAGACCAAACCCCCCTTACCCCAGCATTTTCAAGCACAACGGGAGTGCGGCAGCGCCATTTCCCTGCCTGGTGCTCTATCCCCTGTGCCTGCGAGGCCTAGATCACACATCACCTTCCTGAGAAGCCCTGAGAAAGAACTAGGATGAAGGGCTTCAGCATCCAGGGCTCCACAACCCAGAGCGGCCAAAGCGGTATATTTAGGTGAACGGAGGGTCCTGGGGCTCATCGATGCCCCTAGCACTCCCCATCCATCTGGCTGGCAAAAAGCCTTAGGATATTATTACCCTGTAATTCGTAGCCAGAGGTGACCAGCTCAGGGCTGGGGAGCAGAAGGTGCCAGGCTCACCGGGCTTTTTGGGAAAGATCAGAGGATAGTGTCAAAGGACCCGGACTGGGGTGCAGGGAACTGATGCCCTCATTTCAGATGGGGAGTCCCGGTCGAGGAGGCTGGGTTGCGCCCCCTCGTCAAGTGCAAAGGTGTCTGGAGGTTCTTCTGCCTCGACACTTCCCCACATGGGCGCCCTCCGACTCCTCTGGGTTCCCAAGCCCAACATCAACCCTATAGCACCCTTGCGACCACGGAACCCCTTCAACCATAGTCCTACGGCACGAAGCGCGCCGCGCACGCGCGCCGAGCTCAGCGACAGCTCCGCCTCTAGTTTGCCTCGACCCGCCTCTTCCGCCACCTGGGGCGGGGCTAAGCGTGGCTTCCGCCGGAAACCTAGAATCCAGCCGAAAATCAGGCTCTGAAGTTGCTGGCTGGGTGGTCCTCCTGGCTCTTTCTCGTTTCCCGTTTCCAAGTTTAGGTTTTCACGCCCACCTCTAAGAAGGTCCTGAGACCCCACGCCACCCCCCACATTCCAGTTTCGGCAGCAAATTACTGCAGAACCCGAAGCCAGGGAAGGAACCCGTTTCCGTCCTCACCTCCCTCAGTCTCCTGCCCTTCTCCCCGCCCCCTCTGCCGCCCTGACCATGGCCCAGAAGCCGAAGGTAGACCCCCACGTCGGGCGCCTGGGATACCTGCAGGCACTGGTTACGGAATTCCAGGAGACGGAGAGCCAGGGTAAGAGCGGCGGGGGGGGGGGGGCAAGGGACAGAGCAGGGGTCCGGCCGTGACAGCCGCCCCAGACCTGGCTCCAGAGCCACTTTTCCGCCGCAGACGCCAAGGAGCAAGTACTGGCCAACCTCGCCAACTTCGCCTATGATCCCAGTAACTACCCGTATCTGCGGCAGCTGCAGGTCCTTGATTTATTCCTCGATTCCCTGTCGGAGGAGAATGAAACCCTGGTGGAGTTTGCAATTGGTAAGTATGGGGCAGGTCTCCCAGATACGTGATTTGACTTCGTGAAGTAAGTGAGTTAAAAGCCAGTCACGGGGGGGGGGTGCCTGGGTGGCTCAGTGGGTTAAGCCTCTGCTTTCGGCTCAGGTCATGACCCCAGAGTCCTGGGATCAAGCCCCGCATCGGGCTCTCTGCTTGGCAGGGAGCCTGCTTCCTTTCCTCTCTCTCTGCCTGCCTCTCTACCTCCTTGTGATCTCTGTCTGTAAAATAAATAAATAAAATCTTAAAAAAAAAAAAAGGCCAGTCACTGGGAAAGGAATATTTTAGGGAGTTCCTCTGTTGAGAAGGCGGATCTTCTCGACGTCTGCGCCAGCGATACCTTCGCCACCTCCTGGTTCACACATTGTTCCAGGTCACAGCTAGCTTGAATCGGATCTGGAACCACTGCCCAGGAGTCCCTCTGCATGTCTGCCTTTCCTCCTATTTAGAGATGAGATCATAAACGAGGGAATGGATTGAAGCCACTTGAAGGGAAAAAAAAAGTTTATAGAATCCCATTTTTAGTTTTTAAACTTTTTAAAGATTTTTATTTGAAAGAGAGCAGAGCAGGGGGAGGGGTGCTGAGTGCAGATCCCATCTCAGAGCTGGATCGCAGGACCCTGAGATTATGACCTGAGCAGAAGTCAGACCCTTAACCAACTGAGCCATTCAGGCACCCCTAGAAAGGTGTTTTTAGACATCTTTATTTTAATGTGAAAATATCAAGGAAAGTAGAGGTGACTTGGAATGGCTTATACCTCCTGTAGTTGTTATGGTCTAAGACCTGTTATTCAGTGGACAGATACTTATTTGGCATGTACTGTAAGGTACTGTTCGAAATGCTGGAGAGATGATGAACAAGTGGAGGAAAGGTCTTTGCCCTCAAGGAACTTACATTCTAGTGGGGGGAGACACATGGTGAGCAAACCAGCAAAAAAGCTGAGGCTCTGAAGAAGTAAACAGGGTGATGAGATAGAGCAGAGAGCTGAGTTGGGGGCTGCTTCAATTCTGCCCTCATGGGAAGGCATTCTAGGAAGAGGCACAGCATGGGCAGAGACCTAAAGTGGGAGGAGCCAGAAAGAAAGCTGATGTGGCAGGCTGTGGGGAGTGCAGCAGAGTGGTAAAAAATGAGGTTGGAGAGGTGGGCAGTACCAGAGTTTACTTGACTTAGCTCTAGGCCATGGGAAAAAGCAGTTTATTCTGAGAACAAACAAAAATTCTTTTTTTCAGCATGCGTCTTAAAAAATAATATTTTTCTGGGGTGCGTGGGTAGCTCAACAGGTTAAGCATCTGGTTCTTGATTTCGGCTCAGGTTATGATCTTGGGATTGTGGGATCGCCTTGTGTCAGGCTCCAGAGCTCAACGTAGAGTCTGCTTGAGATGTTCTCTCTCCCTCTACCTTTCCCTCTGCTCTTCCCCCTACTTGCACACATGCTATCTCTCTCTAAATAAATATTTTTTAAAATTAAAAAAAAAAAATAGGGGTGCCTGGGTGGCTCAGTCGTTGGGCATCTGTCTTCGGCTCAGGTCAAGATCCCAGGGTCCTGGGATTGAGCCCCGCATCCGGCTCTCTGCTCGAGGGAGGCCTGCTTCTCTCTCTCCCACTCCCCCTGCTTGTGTTCCCTCTCTCACTGTGTCTCTCTCTATCAAATAAATAAAATATTAAAAAAATATATATATATATTCCCCCCCGCCGGGTGCCTGGGTGGCTCAGTTGGTTAAGCATCTGCCTTCGGCTCAGGTCATGATCTCAAGGTCCTGGGATCAAGCCTGCATCGGGCTCCCTTGCTCAGTGGGAACCTCCTTCTCCTTTTCCCTCTGCCTGGTGCTCCCCCTGCTTGTGCTCTCTCTGTTAAATAAATAAGATCTTTAAAAAGTAAATGTTTTCGGGGCACCTGTGTGGCTCAGTTGGTTAAGCCTCTGCCTTCAGCTCAGGTCATGATCTCAGGGTCCTGGGATCAAGCCCCGAATCTGGCTTTCTGCTCAGCGGGGATCCTGCTTCCTCCTCTCTCTCTGCCTGCCTCTCTGCCTATTTGTGATCTCTGTCAAGTAAATAAATAAAATCTTAAAAAAAAAAGTAAATGTTTTCTACACAGTGAAAGGAACCTTGTTTACATAGAGAAAGAAACCGTTTATAATTATTCCATTATCACCTAACACCTAGTCATGCAAATTTCTCTAATAGTTCCCAAAGGGGCATTTAATCTGGTTTTTATGTTCCTTAGGTCTCCATCTCTCTTTCTGTCTCTTTTTAAATGAACTTTGTATTTTATTTTATTTTTTTTATTTCTTTACTTTTTTTTTTTCTTTAAGCTCTCGCCCAGCATCGGGCTGGAACTCACAACCTTAAGATCAAGGGTTGTCCCGGATGCTCTGGGCACCTGGGACACTCAGTTGAGCGTCCAACTCTTGATTTCTTCTCAGATCATGATCTGAGGGATGTAAGATGGAGCCCCATGTCAGGCTCTGTGCTGGGTGTGGAGCTTGCTTGAGATTCTTGACACCCCCTTCACGCTCTCTCCTGTGCACACGTACACTTGTTCTCTCTCTCTCTCTCTCTCAAAAAAAGAAAAAAAAATTCACATTCTCTACTGACTGAGCCAGCCAGGCACCCCCATGAATTTTCTATTTTAGAACAGTTTCAGAAAAATTGCAAGGGTAATACAGAGAGTCCCCATATATGCCATACCCAGTTTCTCTATTATTAACCACTTACATTAGTGTGGTACATTTGTTAGAATTAATAAGCCCGTTTTTTAAAAGATTTTATTTATTTATTTGACAGCATAAGCAGGGGGAGAGCACAAGCCTCAGGCAGCCCCGCCTGCTCTGAGGGCAGAGGGAGAGGGAGAAGCGGGCTCCTCACTGAGCAGGGAACCCAATATGAGGCCCAATCCCAGGACCCTGGAATCACGACTTGAGCCTGAGGCAGACACTTAACTGCCTGAGCCACCCAGGCAGCGTTTGATACATTGTTACTAACTAAAATCCATGCTTGATTCATTTCCTTAGTTTTTCCCTAATGCCCTTTTACCATTCTAGGATCCCATTCAGGATACCCTATTACTTTTAGTTGTCACATCTTGGGCTCCTCTGGACTTGTACCAGTTTCTTAGATTTACCCATTTTTGGGTGACATTGATGGTTTCCAAGAGTGCTGGTCAGGTATTTTGTAGACTGTCCCTTAACTGAGATTTGTCTGATGCTTTTCTCTTGATTAGACTGGGTTATGCGTTTTAGGGGAGGACAGCCACAGAAGTAAATGCCGTTTTCCCCACATCGTGTCACGGAGCTGTGCTGTCAGCGTGACTTCTCACGGTTGATCATGGCCTTGATCACCGGGCTGAGGTGATCAGCTGGTACTTGTACTGGTCAGGTTTCTCCCCTGTAAAGTTATTCTCTTCCTCCTCTTTGCATATTGTAGTCTTTGGACGGAAGGCGCTATACAAATTATCTCTTTTAATCATTAGTAGACTGTTTTCATGACACTAATTATTGAAGGATCCAGACCAGTTCTGAAGAATTTCCCACCTTCCTCCTTGTTTCCTAATTGTCTGGTTGCCTCTTTATGGTGTCATTTAGCTTGTTCCTCTTTCCCCTTTATTCCTGGAACCTAGAAGTTGGATTGAAGGCCTCGATAGAGCAGGTCCCACTGTGTAATGGTTAGCACTCTGGAGTTTGAAGGCCTTGGTAGAGTCAACTAACACTTTTTTTTTTTTTTTGCACTGAATACATCAGGTAGGTGTGTTGTAAAATTTTGAAAGACTATCCAGGCTGGCCCCTACTGTTCGGGGTGTGTGGGGCTATGGTACAAATGGGGGCCATCCCTCCTCCCCACAGTAGGTCTCACCCATGTGTGTGGACATCTCAGCTGTATTCATACCTGCCCTGTGGCCATTCCTTGGACTTAGAGTCCATCCGTGGGAGTCAGGATCCAAGAAAGAGGCCCGTGCAGCTGGGGGAGCAGGTTCAGGGCCTGGAGCCCCAGGTATGGGGGAAAGGAGGATGGGCTGTGGGTGGGCTCCCTGCACTCTTCAACCTGTGGAGAGGGCCAGACGGATGCCCCTGGAGATCATTATGCTAAATAAATTTCTAAACATTGGTCACTTTAAGATTTTCTTCTGTAGAAGTCCTCCATCCCCTCCCTGTGCTCCACAGCTTCTGCCATATGAATGGTGACAGTGGTCTCTGCGATGCACAGCTTCCACCAAGGAGTGATGGAGCTCCTCCAGCTCAAGCTTTGGACGGGTGCAAACTTGGATAAAAGGAGTAGTCCCCCACAAAAAGTTTTTGCAGGATCAGGAACTTGCCCAGGGCAGGAGTACTCTTAAGACCCTGGGCTGCTGAGTGGGAGACTTGGGCCTGGCCTGGGTTCTTGCTCTCCTGGGCAGCCTCCCAGAGTGGGTGATGCATCTGTCCCTTCTCTGAGATCCGTCTCCTCACCTTGCTTGCCCTGAATTGCAGGACTGTCGTGGGGAGCAGAATGGGCTCTCCGTGAAGGTACTGGCTGGTCACTTTCTTAGTATCTTCATCCCCAGTTTTCCTTTTTCCTGCCGCTTTTCCTCATTTTCTCTTCCTCATTTTCTCTTCCTTTCCTTCAACCGGCACAAAGTTCCTAATCCCCAGAGTAGTTGCTTTCTCAGCGTTGAATCCCTCCATGGGATTGTCTGCAGAGTAAATTTCTCTTGTATTTTTTGTGCATGACTTAGGAGGAGAGGCCCAGTCGTACTTAGATTCATATTTTGTTACTGCTATCATTTCCTTTTCTCTTCATGTCGCCGGCCCTGAATGGGAAACACTGTCAGGTGCCTTTTCGGCTAATAGGCTCTGTGCTGTGCTTTGTAGCTTTGACTCTTTTTTATCTCTGGTAGCAGGGATGAAATTTATCTCCACGAGGGCAGAGCTCAGCTTTGCTTATCTCTGCGGTAGAGGAGAGAAGGGCCTAGAAGGTGTGGAGTATGGGCCCTAACTCAGTGCTGTAGCCC